ATCTTTGCCATTTTAATTATTATGTGTCTTGGTGCTGTCCTCCTTGGGTCCCTTCTGTTGGGAGTTCTGTGTACTTCCGTGGTCTGAGTGACTATTTCCTTTCCAGTTTGGGGAAGTTTTCAGCAATTATTTCTTCAAAGACACTTTCTATCCCTTTTTCTCTCTCTTCTTCTTCTGGTACCCCTATAATGCGGATATTGTTCCTTTTGGATTGGTCACACAGTTCTCTTAATATTGTTTCATTCCTTGAGATCCTTTTAACTCTCTCTGTGTCAGCTTCTATGCGTTCCTGTTCTCTGGTTTCTATTCCACCAATGGCCTCTTGCATCTCATCCATTCTGCTTTTAAATCCTTCCAGAGACTGTTTTATTTCTATAGTCTCCCTCCCTACTTTGTCCGTTAGCTCTTGCATATTTCTCTGCAGCTCCATCAGCATGGTTATGACCTTTATTTTGAATTCTTTTTCAGGGAGATTGGTTAGGTCTATCTCTCACGGGTTGTCTCTGTGATTTTGGTCTGGATCAAATTATTCTGCCTTTTCATGGCAACAGAGGTAGTTGTGGGGAGCTGGCGTGTGTGTTGGCTGGGAGAACATCACTTCTTGCTAGTTTGTGGCCTTCCTCTCCTGGGAGAATGGCGACCCCTAGCGGCTTGTGCTGGACAGCTGCACGCAGACAGGGGTCTCTGATTCTTGCTCGTCCTCTGTGGAGTAAGCTCTGTGGTTGTTGTGGGCGTGGCTCCTCTCAGGCTGCTGCTCCGCTATGGCAGAGGCACCTCGCAAGGGTTACAGGCAGGAGGCTGTTTATCACCATGAGGGGCCTCAGAGCTGCGCTGCCACTTGGACACCTGGAGTTCCATGGGATTCCCAGCTGCTGGACTAAGTGTCCCGGGATCCTGCCATCCAACTGTGGCATCCCTTTCTCTTTAACACTTTCAAAAAGCACCCACTTTTCTTTCTCCCAAGGGTGCTGGCTGTGGGGACCCGCTCGCAGGTTTTACTGTTCCGTTTCCCTAATATCCAGCACACCACGCACTCTGTGCCTGCGCTCCCGGTGAAGATGGCTAGGGCTGGGTGTTTAGCAGTCCTGGGCTCCCTCTCCCTCCCCACTCTGACTTCTCTCCTCCTGCCAGGAGCTGGGGTAAGGGGCGCTCAGGTCCGCCGGGCCGTGGCTTGTATCTTACCCCCTTCGTGAGGTGCTGGGTTTTCGCAGGTGTAGATGTAGCCTGGCTGTTGTCCTGTATCTTCTGGTCTCTCTTTTAGGGATAGTTGTATTTGTTGTATTTTCAAAAATATATATGGTTTTGGGAGGAGATTTCTGCTGCTCTATTCACACTGCCATCTTGGCTCCTCTTTAATGTTTCTATTACCTGAATATTGTGTATTACTCTTCTTTGATTCTCTGGAGAGAATCAAGTATCCTACACACACCAAATACTCTAGATTTAAGTTGTACTCAAAATGCCAGTCCAAGAACAGTTTGTTAATTTCAAAGAGATAAGAAGCTTGTACCAGAATATAAATTGATGCTGCTACCTATACTGAGAAAATCTTATTACCAAAAAAATGCCAATTGAGCTAAATTTTGTACTTAGTGGTATAACTGATTTACATTGATAGAAGTTCCTTTTTGTTATGGATCCGTAACATACAATTTTCAGACTAGTAACAGTATGCAGACCAGTGGTCTCCAGATCATATTGGAGTAGCTATGCTTTAAAGTCATTAAGGATAGCAAAACTCCCCAAGGAACTTAGAGGTAGGCCTAAAAAATTAAGGCAGATTCCAATAAAACTTACCAGAAGTTTTCTTGCAGAGAGATCAGTATTACAAAAACATGTCATAAAACTTACAAAAACAAAAAAACCCACATTATTTTGGTGTTGCAGTATAAGGCATTCAAATTAGTAAATATATGCATTAGGCAATAAAATAATTTACTAAAGGAGTCTGTGGGATCTTCTTAGGTTTAGGAATAAACTAGACAACTATTATTGTAGGATGGAAAGACTCTTGTGATGAAGCAAGTAGTTTAACATTTTCCAAAGCATATTAATATGAAGCTCTAGATCTAAGAGATGCTAGGGGGATGGGGATAAGACTATGAGGTCAAACATATTGGGAAAATGTTGCATAATCATTTTCTTTTTGGAAATGTATGGTATAAATTTGCTCTGAAAAAGGCTTTAATGTAGTAATGTGTTTTATTTCACTTAGCATTTCCCAAATGTTTTTTGACCACAGAACTCTTTAAAGTCACATCTATTATCACATTTCAGAAAATTCTAGCTTACATTTCATGAAACATTATTCCAACATAAAAATCTTATACATTTAAGGGTGAAGATAAAATGCAATCAATTCTTTATTATCTGTTATCAAAGAGGTGAGGGGGCAAGCTTAGAAGTTTGATGTTGACAATCACAAAGATACTGAATTTTGAGGTAATTCAGTTTGAATTTTATTTTTAAAAAGAAAAAGCCATGGCATAAAGAAGTGATTTCCTCAGTCCCAGCACATCTGAAATCAGGAAGAAATTGAATGGTACAGCTTTCACACAATGTTTCCAGGCTTATTATCACATTTAAAACCCAAAACAATTCTGAAAACTAGTAATGAACTGACTTTCGCCAATTAGGATCTAAAGTTTAGAAAACTTGTAGATGCACAATTTGCAGCAGAGGTGGCACACAGACTCAGGATCTGTGTACTCCCAGAGCCCATGCTCATTGTCCTAAGGCAGAACTTCTATCTTCTAATTTCTAGCTCAGGGTTTTTTCCACTACACCATGTACCTTTTTTTAACTACAAAAATACGTTATCTATTCTAAGTAAATACCAATATTTTTTTTAAATGGTACTATTCCCTAACCACTGTCCAGGCTTTAGGAAGGAGATGATACTGAAAAGTTCTAGAAAATAGGGGAACACCAATACGTAAGTAAATATTTGGTTACTATGAATTTACTACCATTAATCCACAATAAAATAAATGAGCATGGTCTATATTTTGTTTATCTTTAAATGCTCAAAACAACATTAACTGAATATTAGATTATCACCCACCTGCAAAGTATCAGCAAATATTACAATGAGATTCTTCAGCTCCAGAATAAGATCAGGATCAGCGCAATATGACTTGGGGGTAAAGAGGGAGTTGGGTGGGTACAGCAGTAGAAATACAAACAAACAAAAGAGTCATTTGGTTAAAAACTAAGAAATAAAACTTGAATTGTTTTCCTTTAATCTGCCAGACTTACACTAAATTTAAAATCTTGGTCATTAGATCCACAAGTGGCTTCTTTTCATCAGTAAAATTTCTTAGGGAAAGATCAACAAGAAATTTTCCTGAAATTTGCACATACTGAACTTTGGTCAAAGCAATGATGATTATATTTCAAAGTCTTTAGATTTTAAGAAACTAGTTACTTTAAACTGCAAAAATGGTTTACATATAGACCATGTATTTTTACTTTTCAATTACTTGTTTATTCTCTTATAAAAGAAACATATTACCTTTTCCAATATAAGAATGACAATTTAAGTAGTTTTGTAGTAATACACCAAAAGAAAATTTCAAAGAGACAGTGTAATTCCTTCTGTCCCCTTTATGGCATTTAATAAGATTTTGAGTGTGATATGTTGCATTTAACATATTATGACTTTATATTTGATGCCATGGACTTGAAGGAAGTATACTGTAATTTTACATAGAGTAGTCTTTTACATAGACTATACCATCATAAAACATATTATTCTTTATTAATGTGTCAGAAAAAGTTGTAGTTCATTGGACAAATAGTGTATTAAGAATATGTATTCCTGATAAATAAAAATGTAGTGTATTTATAATCTAAATATCCTATAACCTAATAATCTTCCTTCAAAGTATTTTCAATCTCTATTCTCAGCCATAAAATGATAAATAATGGATTACAAAATTTTAAGTATGGGGAGAATTTAGGGAAGGTAAACAACAAAAATTGTCTTAAGAAAAAGTCTACATTGAGCAATTACTAATTTCATTAGTCTTTAAAACACTAAAATATTTATTTGCATAAAAGACATTACGAAAATAGTTGACCATTTACTTTCATTCATAAAAACACCTCTCATTACATAAAGGTCCATTATTTCAAATGAGTACAAATTTTGACAAATGCATATATTTAAGAAATTTGAAACTATTATTGTAAACAAATTATAAACATCGAAGAACAAGTTTTATCGAGTTTTAATGTTGGAGTTTATTTTGGAAACAAAAAATTTGGAATGATAATTAAAAACCCTTCAGTGCTTTTCAGTGATCTAATGAAGAGGTCGGTTGAGACTAATGAGACCAGCTTAATTCTTCATTTTCTATAATGCTGGACTAAAAGTGTCTTGGGACGCCCCAGTCAGTTGCAAAATCAGAGCCCAACATTGCTAGACAAACAAAAGCCTGACATTACTACTTCCAAATCTGAGAAATTACCGAAAAAATGCAGAGTGATGGAAGTACAGTTTTCTTCTGACTTTATGCATTTTCAGAAGCTCTTGAAGTAAATGAATTAAAAATTTAGTGACATAAATTGTCTGACTTACTGAATGAGCTCTAAGGACAGCAATTATCTTTGAGAGGGCCATGTTCCAAAGTTCATCAGTGTATGCCCTGGTTACTAATCCTTGGGTCACATGTAAAATGTGATCTTCCACCACAAAGAACCTAAAAACAGTAATTACCAACATAATAGGTATTAAAACAAAATCTAAACCCAAACAGTAAATAGTTAGTTCTGACATTTAACATAATATAAAAACAATAGTTCTTAGATACATACCCTACAATCTGAGTGAAATATCTTCTATAGCCATCAACTGTTTCATGCTTTAAATGAAAAATAAAAATCAATTGAAACCAATCAATACCAGTAACATAAAAGTAAGTTCCAAGTCATTTCAACATTTATTAACAAATATTTATTGAGAGTCTACTATATACTACATACATTTTTAAGGTACCAGGGATACACTAGTGAAAAAACAAGACGTCCTTACCCTCATGAAACTTGCATTCAAAAGGAGACATAATAAACAAGCTGAAAAGTTAAATATGATTTCAGAACCCCCTTCTCAACAGGCTAGTTCAAGCCACCATCATCTCTCACTTGGTCTATTACATCGCTCTTCTACCTCATCTCCCCAGCTTTCAGGCTTTCTCTCTACATTATTCCCCAGATGGCTGCCAAAATATTACCTCTCAAATAATACTCAGATCATTACATATTCTGCTAAAACTACCAATAACTTTTCATCTATTCATAATAAAAGTCAAACTCCTTAAAAATGGTCTACAATTGCCTATTGTTTATAATTTTAACAAAAGGCATACAATATTTCATCATTTGAATTTACTGAATTTCAAAAGCTTATTACATGAAATATTTCATTATTTTAATTAAGTTCAAATGTGGCATTTTGCTTATTTCATAAATGTGATCAAAATTTTTGAACATTTGGGGCTTTTTCAAATTGGGAGGGAGGATTGTCATTACTGTTTAGCTTAAAAATACTATGATCAGTGAATGTAGTCTTCATGACACCAGATGTTTGATATTTCTTGATACTTGCTTTTTTAACATAGTATATAATAACATTTGATAATGTCCCATATATGCTTGAAAAGAGTATATCTCTAAAGTTGAAACAGGACTCCATATAGACCATTAGATCAAGCCTATTAAGGATATTCTCTATTATTACTGATATTCTGTCTATTTGGTTTATAAGATATAAGACACTAAAACCCTACCATACTTACGGATTTTTCTAAATTAATCCTTGCACTTGTGGGCAATTTCGCTACAAATATTTTGAGGCAATGTTACCAAGTGCTTACAGGTTTAAATTACCTCTTCTTAATCCACTCTAAGATATGATTATTTTATTTTTTATCATTCTAGCCTTTTTGTGTTATATGAAAGCATATACTATTTTAGTGTTACTCCAGAAATTACATTATACATATTTAAGTAATCAAATTTTATTCAGTATTCTAACTCTTCTTCTGGACAAGTCAGAAATTATAGAATAGTTTCACATCATTAACTTCCATCTCATTCTAATGTTTGTTATTGTTGCTTATTTTAATTCTATGTTGTTTTTTATTTAAAGTCTGTATTTTATTATTACTTTCTACAGTCAACATAAATTTACCCACATATATACACTTTCTTTTCTATTCATTCTTTCTAGCATCTAGTATCTTCTTTTGGTATCACTTTCCTTTTGCCTGAAGTAGGTCCTTTAGAATTTCCTTAGTAAGGGTGCCTTGGTAGTAAACTCTCTTTTCTTTGTCCGAAAATGTTTATTTACCCTTGTTCCTCTGGATATAGACTCCTAGATTGACAGTTACTTTCCTTCAGCATTGAAAATATTCCATTGTCTTGTTTATTTGAAAATCATCTCTCCTCTTTGGGTATTTTTAAGGTCTTCCCTTTATCTCTGTTTTTAAAGCCAAGTTTATCAGATATACAATAAAATGAACCCTTTTGACATGTAGAGTGCAATGAGTTCTTCTAACAATTTAGATGTGTAACCATCACCAAAATTAAGATAAAGAACATTTCCATCTCATAAAAAGTTCCCTCAGCCCCTTTGTAGTGAATCTCTCTTCTTAACCCTACCCCTTAGCCACCAATCCAATTCTGTCCCATAGTTTTCCCTTTCCAAAAATGTCATATAATATATATCACACTTCATATAACTTTGTGGTATCTGGATTTTTTCACTTAGAATAATGCTTTTGAGAATCATCCATGTCACTGTATGTATCAGTTTCTGTTATACTGCTGAGCAGTATTCCATTATATGGATGTATGACACTTTATTCACAAGCTCATAGACATCTGAGATGTTTCCAGCTTTCAGCATTTATGAAAAAAGCTAGTATAAACATTCACATATCAGCAATTGTGGGAAGATACATTATCATATCTTTTGGATTAAAATCTAGGAGTGGGGGGCAAAGGGGGGCGGAGCCAGGATGGCGGCGTGAGTAGAGCAGTGGAAATCTCCTCCCAAAAACACATAGAGCTATGAAAATATAACAAAGAAAAATCTTCCTAAAATAGAGACCACAGGACACAGGACAACATCCAGACCACATCCACACGTGCAAGAACCCAGCGCCTTGCGAAGGGGGTAAGATACAAGCCCCGGCCCGGCGGGACCCGAG